GCCGTGTGAGCGAGCGCTGAGAATATGCACTGCTGCGACGGCCCGAGCGCCGGGGCGAGGCAGCCTTTGCGCCGGGCACCCGGGAGGCGGCCGGCGGGTCCTGGAAAGCTCGGGCTCCGGGCAGGGAACAACGGCGAGGCAGGAAAAAGTCTGCATGGAGAAAGTGCAGGATTGACGTCGGAAAGATGGAAAGATAGTGACTGGACACAGGAAAGACCTTTCTAGGGAAGGAGAAATGCCATTGAAATGGACCTTTCAATGGGAAGGAGAAACTGGCTTTGCGAAGATGGGGAGTGGACATTCCAGGCAGATAGCGCCCAGGCCCGCCGGCAACATCCACTTTGACTAGGAGAAGAACTGAAACTGAGAAATCCAGTGAGGCTGGGTTTTAGTGGTTAAATCGAGAAGGGCATGTGAAATGCACTGGACTCAGGAGTTGGAGTTTTACTGTGTGATGGAAAGCTGGGTAAAGAAATTACCTGATTTAAATATTTTAAAAGAGGGATCTGTTACTGTTTGTAGGAACAAGAATGGATGATGCCCCAGAGACTGGTTGGAGGCAGGTGATGCCTTTTGTAGAGTTGAGGGGTGTCTCTTTTGGCAGTATTATGTTACAGATTCACTGTTCGAACACATATCTATTGAGTACCTATTATGCATAAGATCAGACACTGGGTTCTAAGGTGCCGGGAATTCAGCTGTGAACAAGCCAGACAGAAGTCCTTGTCCTTCTCCTTCTCAGAGTTACAGTGGTAGGTTAACAGTAAATACAACAGACGTCCTACTAGTTGATTGTTACCGGCATGATGAAAAATAAAGCATGGTGTGGCATATAGGAAATACTGTTGGGAAGAAACTTTTACACTGAATGGGTAGAAAACGCCTCATGAAGAAAACATTTTGCAAAGAATTAAAGGAGGCAAGGTAAAGAGTGTTGCAGGTGAGGAGACACACAGGGCACTGTGGTGGAACCTGTCTGAATGCTAAAGACCAGACCAGTGTGGCCGAAACAGATGTGAGGGTCAAGAGGAGCAGGAGAGGCCTCCAGACGGGATGGAGTCAGGTACCACCAGTCCTCAGTCCCCTGTGGAACAATTTGAGCTCTTCTGATGAGATGGGAAGATCTGGGGCTGAGGAATGATGCCATCTGGAAGATTCCTGTGTTGAAAAAAGAAGAGGCCAGTGGGGAGGGGGCTATAAGGGCAGAAACAGGCTAGCTTAAGAGGTTGTTGCAGTGGTAATGGAGACTTGGCTTGAGGAGAGAGAGGTACTTCATTCTAGTTATATTTTGAAGGTAGAGGAGGTGAATTTCCCATTGAACTTATTATGGGGTGTACGGGAAAAGACCACTGGTTTGTTGACCCAGGAAATTGGAAGGTGGAGTTGTTTTGTTTACTAAAATGTGTAAGACTACAGCAAATTTGGGAGGGCGAGCAGAAGTCGGTTTTGGTCTAGGAGATGCCTGTGTAAGATTGGCTAAAGAACACTGATTGTAAGAGGTTGGGAGGAAATTAGCACATAGCTAATGGGACTCCACAAAATTACTTGGAAAGAGTCTAACTAGAGCAGGGCACAATGAGGGACCAAGCATTCTCCAGAATGTTAAAGGTGAGCCAGTAGAGAAGTCTGAGCTCACAGAAGCCTGCAGAGAAAGGGTGTCAGCAGGGAGTGTATCCGCTCAGTCTGCTGTTAGGGGTTTTGGGCTTGATGCTAGAGTCTTTCATGGTATTGATGAGAGCCAGTTGCTATAAGGTCAGAAAAATGACCTTTTGGGAAGGAGTGAAGTTCCCCGCCCTACCCAAGGTAGAAGATCCCAGCACATATTTGTATGCTGATGGACTGGGAATTCGTGGGAGAGGAGAAATTGATGAGGGGTCGGTAATTGCCGGAGCAAGAAGAGAGAATTCATGTTAAACATGGAAAAGTTGAACTGAGAAGGCAGCGGCCAGGGCGCAGCAGCTACCCACTTTAGAGGAAGGTTCCTGCCCCGTGGCTTGCTTCCCAAAGCGTGAGTCTGGACCACCGATTCGAGAGAGGAGTTGAGAACATACAGCTTTAAGAAAGGGAGGTTTGTTGAGTGAAATGAATAGACTTGGATCATTACACTCAAGCTTTGCTTCTCGGCTGTGCGCTTGTGTCCTCGGCTTGCCCCTGCTTTCTTGGGCGGTTGGGTTGAAGAGGGGGTGAACACACCAGGGCATTGACTTCAAACTCGGTTTCTCCATCAGCTCCTGGGTGACTGACTGCCTTGTGCAAGACGCTGCCCCCAGTGCCCCAAACCTTCACCTCTGATCTTCCTTATCAACTCCAAGACTGAATCACACTCCCTGCTGCCCTTCCCACCACCGAGTGTCTGTTTATCAGCTTTACCTCCTAGGGCACTTACACCTAAGAAAACAACAGGAACTACCCACTGTGGTGCTTGTCACATGGCAGGTGCTAGTGTGTGATAGCTATTGTTTTCATGGATCAGTGTTTCCAAACCTGCCCCTGTTCAGGCTCTGGTAGGGGTTGGGCAGCCTGGGGATTTTGTGACCCTGGAGCATTCAAACAAGTGGGGGCCCGTGGAGCTCTTACTGCTCTACTGGCCTTGTCTTATGTCTGACACGGCGTGTTCCCTGACGAGGGTGACTGAAAGTGTAGTCTCACGTGGGCTGTCAATCAGAGGTGAGTTCTTCCAGGACTGAAACCACTATATATAGCGTGTTATGTTTTATTTATTACAGATTTATTTATTTATGCACACAAGAACTGGGGTACAGGCCAGAGGTGCTGGTGATTTGGGGGGGGGGGCGGAGAGAGAACATTCACCAGAGACCGAGTTAGGAATAGAACTGGCAGATCTACTGAAATACACTGCTGAGGGGAGCAGTGGGCAAGACAGGAGAGGTGTGTCACCAGGGAGAGGCCTATAATTTTTTTTTTTTAACTTTAAGTGAATATAATAGGTGAGCAGACAAAGCAGACAACTTGTCAACTACCTGCCAGACCACTGTCTTTTTCTTTTTTAATCTAGATTGCCCTGTTCTTTTTTTTTTTTTCATTCGCACCTTCATTACCACCTCTCCTTTAATAAGAACCCAGATTAAGCCAAACCCCCTGAATACTATCTCAACCCTCCCTAGATGCCCAGATACAGAAAGCTCTGGTGAAGAAGAGATTAAAACCTCCCAGAAGTGATAGTTCCTGAATCATGTAGTCAATCCTTAATAAAGTTTCTTCACTGAGACCCTGCCTCATCAAAAAAGAGGCTGATGATTGGCAGGAGATTAGGGGAGGATATTAGGCCAGTTTTAATGGCATTTGCCTAGGGCAAATTAAAGTAAAAAAGATGTTTCACAAAACACTGCATGATTATAAATATTAATATAGATAATATGTGTATTTATAATGTATCATTGTGTATTAAACAGGTGACATTTGAAATATGCTTTTTTCAGATGTTGTACATGAGATGAAGTTGACCATTTCAATTTATATAATTCACATGTTCTCAAGTGCAGCCACATAAAATATGCACATTTGAAAATTAATCCTTTCTGTCTTTCTTGATTTTAGGTTCCTGTTAATTCGGTTAAAAGAATTTTGTGGAGAATTTCTCAAGAAAAAACTTCATCTTTCTAACTGTGTGGCCATTCATAGTTTAGCTCATATGTATACTCTGACCCAACTTGCTCTGAAAGCTGCTGATATGATACGGAGAAATTTCCACAAAGTAATTCAAGATGAGGAATTTTATACTTTGCCTTTCCATCTCATTCGGGACTGGCTGTCAGACTTGGAAATTACAGTGGATTCTGAAGAGGTTCTCTTTGAAACTGTTTTGAAATGGGTTCAGAGAAATGCTGAAGAGAGGGAGAGATACTTTGAAGAACTTTTTAAATTGCTCAGATTGTCCCAAATGAAACCCACGTACCTTACTCGGCATGTCAAACCAGAGAGGCTGGTAGCCAGCAATGAAGTGTGTGTCAAATTGGTGGCTGATGCGGTGGAGAGGCATGCCCTGAGGGCCGAGAATATACAGTCTGGCACTTTCCAGCACCCTGCTTCTCATGTCTCATTATTACCTCGCTACGGACAAAACATGGATGTGATCATGGTTATTGGAGGCGTGTCAGAAGGGGGGGACTATTTAAGTGAATGTGTGGGCTATTTTGTTGATGAGGACAGATGGGTAAACCTGCCCCATATCCACAATCACCTGGATGGACATGCTGTTGCAGTAACAGAATCCTACGTGTATGTTGCTGGGTCAATGGAACCAGGGTTTGCTAAAACTGTGGAAAGGTATAACCCAAATCTGAATACGTGGGAACATGTTTGTAGTTTGATGACAAGGAAACATTCTTTTGGGTTAACAGAAGTCAAAGGGAAGCTCTATAGCATCGGAGGACATGGCAACTTTAGTCCTGGCTTTAAAGATGTAACTGTTTATAATCCTGAGCTTGATAAATGGCATAACTTGGAATCTGCACCAAAGATTCTTCGAGATGTCAAAGCACTAGCCATTGAAGACCGGTTTGTGTACATTGCCGCCCGCACTCCTGTGGACCGGGACACTGAGGACGGATTAAAGGCCGTGATTACTTGCTATGATACAGAGACTCGACAGTGGCAAGATGTGGAATCTTTGCCACTTATTGACAATTACTGCTTTTTTCAAATGTCTGTGGTCAATTCAAACTTTTATCAGACTGCATCATGCTGTCCCAAGAGTTACTCGTTAGAAAATGAGGAGGCGATAAGAAAAATCACCAGCCAAGTATCCGATGAGATCCTTGAAAGCTTACCTCCGGAAGTGCTAAGTATTGAGGGAGCAGCCATTTGCTATTACAAAGATGACGTTTTCATTATTGGAGGCTGGAAAAACAGTGATGATATTGATAAACAGTACAGGAAAGAAGCCTACCGATACTGTGCTGAGAGAAAGAGGTGGATGCTCCTTCCTCCCATGCCACAGCCCCGTTGTAGAGCCACTGCTTGCCACGTGAGAATCCCCTACCGGTACCTGCATGGCTCACAGAGATACCCCATGCCTCAAAACTTAATGTGGCAGAAGGACCGAATCAGACAGATGCAAGAAATCCATCGGCACGCCCTAAGCATGCGGCGAGTGCCCAGCTCCCAGATTGAGTGCTGAATTCTCCAGTGTGCGGAGCTTAGAACAGTTACACGTATCCTTAAGGCTGAAGATATCCAGACTGTTACTTGAAAAAGTATGTTGATAACTTATTTTCTACCTGAACTAATTATTGCCCCATTAAAGGAAGTATAGTTAGAAGCTGAAGAATGGGAATCTCATTCAGTACATGGTAATTTTTACTAGCTTGCAGTCTTTATCTGTCTTGGGTTTGTGTGTATGTGGGAGAGGAAGATCACACTAAATAAGATAGGTGGAAAACCCAGGTGTGGGTACACAGCTGTTTTCTGCCAAGAAGCTACAACTCCTTTGTCTTAGGGACTTCTGTTTTGAACATGCTTTAAGCATCCATTTTATTTGCACATTTACTTTGACATTTTTGTTTTTTCCTGAATGGTTGATTTCAGTAAGATCAGAATTTAAGTGTTAAGCCCTCATTTGCAGGAGGTATGTGCAATAGTGAGACTGAAATTAGGAAAAAGCACAATATTTCAGCAAGGTGACTTCAGAATGTTTGCATTGATATTGTGTTGTATTTATCTAGAAATGCTATTTTGTTTATTTCTAGAAGAAAGGATTGATGAGACATCTGTGACTGAGTGGTGCATTTATAATATATTTTTCATTTTTTTAGCAAATTTTTGTTACAGATTTCAAGCCATCGCTGAAATTACAGCGGTTGGCAAAAATATTGCTCTTTAGCTCATTAAGAACATGGGAAGTTATATTTGTGAAATTTATTGCTCAAGAAGAAAAGTATTATTAGTGTAGACTGAGAAATCAAAGGCATTAAGAAAATTTAAAAACATGTTTCAGGAGTTGCAGGCTTATTTGAGATAAAGTTAATGAGCGTGAATAATGCCTATGACAATCGACACTAATGCCTTTAATTTGAAATTGTGTTTAATACATATTGTATATAATGCTCATCATTCCTCTTAAAAGAAACTTTTTCAACGGGAAGCAAGTAATTTAGAGAAAGATGGCTAAAAAAAGAAGCCTTCTATTTCTCAGCACTGATTGTTTATCCAGTTGCCCTGGGCTTTCATTGGCACTTGCCTGAGCCTATATACCAAATTTAGGTGCATAATTATAGCTCTTAAAAACATCACTGAAGTTATCTTTTATTTATGTGTATGTGTCCTTCTGGTTCTCTTACACGTCCCAGGCTTTATATAAATCAGCACTCAGGTTGACTCGCTGGCTGGCATTCGGTGATCATAATGGGCTTCTGCTCTCATGGTTTATAGTGGGGTCCAGTATGTTTTCCTTATTCCTTTTCAGAATGTCTTTACCATCTTAGACATTCCAGAATACCGTGCTGGATGTTGGATTCCAAGTGCAGGGGTTTCTCCCTCTTCCCAATCTATTCTAGTTTAACATCACCAGTAAAAAAGCACAACCATGGATCTTGATCTGCTGCAGAGCTGTTAATGGACTCAGTATTCTAAGCGCCTCCCTGACATGTCTAAATTAGCATCCCTGCTTGGGACAAAGCTTTTCAGTAAATGTGTAGGAATCTGCTTTAGACTGACATGGGGGTCAGAGAACTGTGAGGCTATTTCTATGAGGATATGTTCTACCCCACTTCTGCCATTTTCTCAATTTCCTTTATTTGTAGTTATTTTAATATAAGCCATTTGGACCCTAATGCATAGTTGTGAGAGTTCTGTATAAGTACGAAAAGCTCACTGAATGAAATTCTTGTTTCTCTGATAGACTGTGCTAGCAAACCTTTTCTTTGTGGTGGTGAAAACATTTACTATCTTACTAGGATGCCAGTTTGTCTAGAAGAATGTGATGCAAGTATTTTTTTTTTAGTCTCAGTTTTGCCAAGTTATTTGTAGGGTTGTATTTTTCACATAATGTGGCAGAAATGATAACGTTAAGATTTAGGTGCAATCTGGTTTTGAAAACGTGATTGAAACTCTTTGTTTTTTAACTCAGCAGGCAGCCTAGGCCATGGCTGAAAAGAAGGGTAAGTCCTTCCTTGCATGATGGTGTGTGCAGGCTTCCCTGACAGCCGGGTTCCTGGTGTTCATATTTGAATTCACATGTGTGATTTCACATCAATAACTTGTGTTTCTGAAATATCCTAACTAACTTGTTAATGAGGAAAGAAACCAGATTTGCTTAAATCTGTCCAAGGCTGACATTCTGAACTGGAGAAAACTCCCCAGAGTACTTGGGAGGGGTCTGATTATGATAACCGACCTAAAATGGTTCTTTGGGAAAGGAAGTTCCTTTTCGATGGAAACTTAGATTATGTTTGGTAATTGAAGCCGTTAAAAATACAGCTCTCAAAGCAGTTCATTGTGTATTCCTGCAAGCCTTTTTTTCTTTTTGTTACTTAGGTTTTGTGGGAGGAATCAATAATACCAAAAAGTAATGACTACATTTAACTTTGAGTGAAGCTACTTATTTATCTTAGAATGGCTATCCTTTAACTACAGCTACCCTGTCATAGTTTAAAAAAACAAATCAGTGCTATATATTGAGAATGTCAGTCGTGAGCTTGGTGTTTAAGTACTACATCTATCTTACTTGCAGTTGTTTGCATGATTAATTTTGTGTATTTTGAGATCCAACTTTGCTTTTGCTGTGCCAATTCAAAAATAATTCTGCTAAAAATATCTTAAAATTCAGTGCTATCAGTACTATTTTAATCACTCATTTGTGTGGTATTTTGGGGACCAGAAATTTTTTGAAATACTGACTTTTAAGTGTTTATGGAAAAACCTGTGTGCTTTTGTATTTTAAACTGCTGCCAGAGCACACTTTTTTCATTTTTATGTTTCCTGACTAGTGTAGCATGTGATATGTTTAAATATTTCATTTTCTGCCTCATAATTCTAATATGAACACTATACTATATAGTTAGACTGGTAAGCTAAATTGTACAGTTATTTGACCTAATCAAGCATAATTAAAGGGACTTGTGTACTTTCCTTAAGTTAACTTTCAATAAAAAGGGATATTGGCCACATTTCACATCTTGTGAAAGCACAGAGTCGGGAAGCAGATTCTCTGCCCACCGTAAGTAGGGCGCCTGTGGGCGCCATTTACCTGTAGAGTTTAAGGAACACCTCCGCTTCCCCTAGTGACTGTCAAACCTTTGGCACAGTTCATCACTCCAGTTTGTTACTTTGTTAAGAATAGTCCATTTTTTTGTTGTTGTTGTTGTAATGTTTGTGTTACAATTGTTCTGGTCATTGGAAACAAAACAGCTCATAGTTCAGTGATGTAATACACTAACAGTAACAATGTAGTAGTCCTTTCACTTCAAGGAGTTTAATTAGGTAGCCAGATAACTGCTCTTCGTTGGCTCCCTTTGTAGGGTTTTGTCTCACTCTCTATGACCATTAATTACTATGATGTCTTACAGTGAAGCACATGTAATAGAGCACTTGTTTACTTAATCCTCCTGCATAATGCACTGGTGAAAAGTAGTGCTTGCTAGATGTTCGAAGATCTTATGATACATGTGCTAGGGCTCGTTGAGTTATTTGTAAAATAAATATTTAGTTCAAGTTGTTAGACAGTGAGTTTGTTTTGGTTGTCAAGATCTAGGCCCCTGCTCTACTGAAAAAGTATTCTTGGCCGTCTCCCTTTAAATCAGAGGAGGTGTAGAACTTAGGACACCGAGACATTGTACAGTAGCTTGTTTTATGTTCCCAAGCTATCTTGTTGTGTGTTAAAGCTACTAATTGTCTCAGTGTAAGTTTGAAATAAACATATTTCTTTAGAGTTGGTTTGTACTGTGATTTTTCCTTTTTCATGACGCATTATCGAATAGCATTGTTTTCTTCTGTCCCTCTTACGCCCTCATTCATCCAGCCCTAGACTCCCTTAAGTTGAACATTTTCCAGTACTCTTAACAAGTTTAAACACTGCATTTATTTAAAAAAAGAATTAATTCTTACTGCTTAGACTTTTTATTAGCTAAACGAAGAGGCTCATACAGGTAGGGTACTTGTCGAGGCGGAGTACTTGACTTCATCCCGCAGTGCTAATCCTGTGAAGTTGTCCCTTCTCGCTGCATATTCCCCCACGTTCGCCAGCCCTGGCACCACACAGCAGCTCAGAGCACTGCGGTAGATGCTCATGTCGTGAGCATCGTACCACTCGTCTGTCTTCTCATCATAGCACTCGACGTTAAAGGTGGTGGTGAAGCCGTTAAAGCCCCCCACCACAAAGAGGAGGTCATCGACCACCTCGATGCCGAAATTGCTGCGGGGGTTGAACATGGTGGGAATGGTGCGCCAGGTGTTAGCCACTGGGCTGTAGGCTTCTGCACTCCTAAGTCGGTTAGCTCCGTCAAAACCGCCTACCTGTGGGCAGCAAAGGAAATCCATTCACTGACCGCCAGCTGCTGCTTCTGTCCGGGAGGGGCCCTCTCTGTGGAGGAACCCCCTCTTCCACACGGGAAAAAAAAAGACCTTTTTAAGTACTTACCAAAGGTCGAGTAAACCTGTCTGCTAAAAGGAAGCCGGGGTGTCGGCCGTGGTGCCAGGTGAACTCACCGCGTACACGTGCTCTCCGTAGGCAATCACACCTATCCCACTCCTCCTGCTCCTCATGGGTGCTATGACTGTCCACTGATTGCTTTCCGTGTTGTAAACTTCTGCTGTGAACAGGCATTCGTTTCCGTTAAACCCACCACATATATAGACCTGTGTGGAGAGTGGTAAGAGGATTAAAATTGGGGCCCAGCCCACCCTGGTGGTGCAGCGGGTTAAAAAGCACAGCACTAAGAAGCTAGAGCCGCTTCAACGTAAGTGCGATCCCCAGCCCCGGAGGTGACCACGTGGCGCGGCAGACCTCTCCTGACCCGCACGCTGCTGCCCTCAGCAGTGTGCTTCGTCGATCTGCCTGTTCTGCTCCCCACTCTGACTCTGGTGAATCCTCTCACCGCCCCTGCACCTCTGGCCTGTACCCCAGTTCTCTATACATAAGTAAATAAATCTTATTAAAAAAATCGGGGCCCCTGGGGAGTAGGACAAAAGACATTTATAGTGGTGGGGGGCACTTTCGATGCCTGTTTTTTCTTGTGTGCATGCCTGCCATTTTTCATTCATTTAGGTCACATGAGTGCAACGCTGGATTCCAGAGGTATGTTTCTCGCCTAGCAGCTATGTGCCTCACCACTCCCGCCACCGAGTGTGCAGTCGGTCACCATTCACCACCACATGCTGTTTTTTAATAGGTGAACCCAAAAAGACAGTTGCAAAGGGCCACTTAGTCATTTGTGGAAGGAATTCATGCTGCAGAGCGGTTGCTGTCACTTCTGGGTTCCATTCACCCCAAAAGATGAAGGAAAGCGCCGTCCTTGGGCTGGCCGGCGTTGGAGCCGCCCTCCTGCTTACCTTTCCGTAGAGGGTCGTGGCGCTTGCGTCGCTCCTCTGTTCGTGCATGGGGGCGATGAGTGTCCATTGGTTGGTCTCTGGCTCGTAACGTTCAGCAGTGTTGAGCCGTACATAGCCATCAAATCCCCCCATGGCATAAATAAAATTGCTGAGAACTGTCACGCTGACATAGCAGCGCCTGGAGTGCATCGGGGCCACCTGGTGCCAAGTTTTCTTAACTGGGTCAAAACGCTTAACACTATTGAAGTAATCTACGCTATCGAACCCCCCAATGATATACACGTAACCTTTCAAATAGGCTGCCCCATGGTAGGCACGGGGACTCTCTTCCTCACAAGTGACGTTCACCCATCTGTCTGCCCGAGCATCATATGCCTCAATGGCATTGGTGGGGCTCCCACCACTCCAGCCACCGATGGCAAACAGGATGGCATAGGGCAGGCGGGGCCTCGTGAGCGGGTTGGTGAAGTCAGAATTAGAGGGTCCATTCATGTTCAGGTCATACATGGCCTTTAGGGCATTAATGATGACTGGCTTGCATTCCTCGCTGTCTTTGACGTAGTCATTCATCTTAACATTGTTCATGAAGTACTCAGCATGCATTAGGGCCAGGCGAACCTAAGGAGGGAATACAGAACGTCATTTAGATGTGTGGGGCCTGCAAAAACATACTCCTTAACCCCCGTTTTCACAGCCTGCCTTTGAATTGTTGTATGATCAAGTTCTGGTTTTGAAATTTACAACTCAGTTGAATATTTGTTTTTGAGAGGTGGTCATCATTTGGATGCTGAGAATGAGCTAGATAGCAGTCACCTCAACTGATCACAGAACCTAGGCTAGAGAAAGCAGTGGTGATGACTGAGTAATTAATAGCTGTCAGTAACAGCGGGCTCTCTAAATATAAAATAACACAAATTAGCACCAAATGACTATAATCGTGTGTCATACACAGGGTTTGATTTCTAGTCCAACTTCTACCTCAGGTTTGGGGCAACTCAGAATGGAAAGGGAGGAAGAAAGGAAGACCTTTCCCTCTTCTTGCCTGCTTCCAGAACATTCTCCATACCTGGGGCAGAGGAACTAGTAAGGCCCAGGGGAAAGAAAGCAGTGACTTAGTAGGAGGGGGTGGGAAATAGTCAACTTAGGTAAATACAGCCTGGACTCTGTCGGGCATCTGAATCTGGCTCTCAGGACAACCCCTCTGGGATGTCTCAGCAGTGGCAATTAAGCATCCACCAAAAAATAACTAAACTTGACCTTGGGAAGCAAAACTGAAATATGCTGTTTCCTATTTTGGGGATCATGAGAAATCCATTTTAAAATGGCCTCAAATACAGCATCTTCTTGTTTGACGTTGAGCTCATCTTTCTCAATGATATCCTTAAGTTCAGTGACTGAGAGCTCTAAAAACTCTGCTGAGACTTTCACCATCTCCTCGAAGTTGTGCAGGATGAACATGTAGGCCTTCTGCCTCAGCTCAGGGCAGTAGTAGTAGTCCGTGAACTTGCAGATGCCAATGCAGTTATCCAGACATAGCTCCGACTTGAGGAACTCGCAGCAACCCCTGACGATCCCCATGATGTTAAATTGGTCTGCGGCAGCCAGCAGCTTCTCCACATTGTCCGGTGTGATAGGGACAGTCCGGGTGTATGCGTATTCGATAATTAATTTCATCATGTCTGGGGAAATGCCAGGAATGTTGTATACTTTCTTTTCAGTGTTGTTCCAGCCACTTGTAAACAAAGCTCTGGAAAAAAAAGAAATCGGCTGTCACTGAAACATTTCCCTCCAGTTTGCCCTGTTCTCCCCCACCTTTTTGTGTGAGAACTTGGGCATTTTCCAAATGGCACACTGAATATGTTGGAAATGAATGGGTGGAGAGGAGGGAGCGGCAGACTGCTTTCTACAGAGGGCAAGGGAAACTTTTCCAAGAGCTGTGACATTGGGGACCCTTGCGTTAACCCCAGGATAACATTCTTTTGTACATTTTGTGGAGAAATTTGGATCTACAGCTGGGAGTAAGACCCACTGCCCACCACTTCTACCTTGCTTAAGGAAATGAAACATCTTGAATAGTGTTGTTCAGCCCATACCCAGATGTGATCACTTCTCACCTCTTTGATTGCTACCTCCTTTGGTCTGAGCCCTGTCTCTTTCCTAGAATGTTGGGAATAATTGAACTGATCTCTCCCTCTGTCTTCCACACCCCCCAGAGTTTCTTATTCCAGCCACAAGAGTGATTCTTACGGACTATGGTTCACTTCCACTCCAAACCACCTACTGACTTCCCTTGTTACAGTAAAATCACATTCCAGAGACTATAAGCCCCCTGAGATCAACCTCTCTGAGACCAGTAATACCTCTCTGGACACATTTCTTTTTTTTTTTTTTTAAAGATTTATGCATACAGAATGGGGTACAGGCCAGAGGTGCAAGAGCAGTGAGAGGAGTCACCAGAGGCAGGTTGACTGAAATACACTGCTGAGGGGAGTGGCGGGCAGGTCAGGAGAGGTCTGCTGTGCCATGTGGGTCACTCCCTGGCCGGGGACCGAACTCGAGCTCAAGCGGTTGTGGGCTCACTTTACAGTGCTGCATTTGAACCCGATGCGCCACCAGGGAGGCCCCCTCTGGCCACATTTCCACCCGTGACCCCTCATTCTATTCCGACCCCACTGGCCTCCGAGCTTTCCTTGACTGCACCAGAGCTGCCTCTACCTTCGGCCCTTGGCATTTGCTATTCCCTCTGCCTAGAAAGCTGCTGGACACCTCCATATTCTCACTCAGCTTTTCTTCAAATGCCACTGATATCAGGGCCTCCCAAGAGTCCTGTTCAAAACGGCCTCTCCTTTTCCTCCCTAGTCCCTATACTGTTTCCATGTGTACTTTATTTAATGCCTACTTGTCGCAGGAGAAGGTCTTCATAAGAACAGAATTGTTCGCCTTTACTCGTCCTTTTTTTTTCAGCACCCAGAAGCGTGCCTGCCACGAAATAGCCGGAATGACTTAAGGAATAAGTGATACTATCCACAAGCTAGGTTTCTGTCATGCAGCTGGGTACTCTTCTAAGGTATTGAACAAGAAGTCCTTGCCCTAATACATTTTTCCTTTCTCTAGGAGGCTTAAGGGAACATGGGCTCAGAGATCCAATTATTCTCTAGCGCAGGAGTCTGCAAACTTACAGCCACTCAGCTCATGTCTCGTTTTATACTGCTCATGAGCTAAGACTGTCTTTTATACTGTTAAATGCTTGGGGCAGGGGAATCAAAAGAATATTTTGTGTCACCTGGAAATTATAATAAATTCAGTGCCTACAAATTACTTTATTGGAACACAGTCATACTTATTCCTTTAGTATTGTCTGCAGCTGCTTTTCCACTGTACAAGAAGAGTGGTATGACCGTGTATGGTCTGCAGAGCTTTAAACATGTACTATCTGGTTTTTCTGGAGACCTTGCACTAAGTCTAGAGGAATGAGAATTTTTAGCAAAAGGGATACATATATCACATCTTCATTGGAATTGATTACACAAACATTTTCAACTTAAGAGCAAAAATAACTTTCATTTCTTGGGTTACAATGATTCTGGCCCCGAATCCCTCTTTTCTTCTCATACACATTCCTTTGTACTATCCCTCAGCCCCCTTCCAATGCCCTCAATCCTTGTTAATTTATCACCCTGATGGTAACAGGGAGGGGGAAGGAGTGACCACAGTGGCACCTGTCACCTAGGGTTAAGGAAGAAATCCAGTATGGGTAATCCATCCTCCCCCAGAGACTGGTTTGGGTGAAGAAAAAAGCCCTCGGCACACCAAGGGCTGGTTTTCAAATCCAGTTGAAAACTGGATGAGGCCCTGGCCTTAGTTGTGCCGCCTGAGATGCCAAAGGAGCCAGGCCACTGCCCGTGCCTGGACGGTGTCCCTGAACGTAAGATGGCGGGCGGAAAGACAAAAGGAACCCGAATGTCTCCGCATGAGCCCAAGGTCCCCCTTTGGCTTAGTTCGGCAACCCTTATACCTAAAGTAGGAACTGCAGCTACAGAGGATGTTCTTGTGGGCATTGAATTCAAAGCCATTGACCTTGATGACCACGTCACAGAGCTTGCCCTCTAGCCTCAGCTCGTTGAAGATCTCACAGGTCATCGCACTCATCTTCCTCTCCATGTGAGGCTGGTGGAAACGTGTGGAGGCCGCCGTGCTCTCCATCTCCATGGCACCCTGGGACCAGCGGAGAGAGGCTGCTCTCCTAGGGCGTTGGGAAGGGTTGTGGGGGGCCCTTTAGCCAGCTGTCGCTCCTTTTCCCTACTACATCTTTCATATAGGGCCCATCAGGCAGCCCAAGTTCCAGAATCCTGGGCCCAGCAGTGAGATCACTCTCAGGATTGTGCTCTCAGGTTCTGGAACTCTCCTCCTGTCCCTGTCCTCCTTCCTTCTCCCCTCCCCCCGGCACCACTCAGGCTGAAGACCACCACCCCACACTTCCTCCCATGGCCTTGCACCTGCAGCAGCTCTGTGCCCACCAATGCCATGTCAGGGCTGTTACTCATTCCAGCTCCTGCTGGCCACTCCGCTGGCCCGGGTCTGTCCCTGTAGCATCCGTCTGAGCACCTGGCTGGCCAGACCCTGAGTCAGGAAACCAAGTCAGAGGAGGCAGGAGGGAGAAGTCAAGCTGACTGAATTTCATTCTGACCCACGTTCCAGGGCCTTCTTGGTCACGTGGCGGTCACTGCTTTGTGATGAGTGAGCCACCCCAGTTAAGGAAGCAAGGAAGCACCTTCCAGATGTTCCAGGCTGCTTCTCTTCATCTTATGGCTTCTTCTCGCCCTTTATCAGCCTACGGCTTTTTTTTTTTTCCCATGCAAACTGTAAGCCTGGTAATGCCCACTCCTGCCAGGACGGCACCCACCTAACCCCTCCTCCTAGGGACCCTGGCCGCCTCAGAGCAGACCCTGCAGCCCAGGGGAGGCCGCCC